TATTATAAGGTGAGAGGATTACTCTATGAAGACTCTTTGCGGCTACTCTTAGTCCACGGAATGTTGCTACTCTAACTTCACCATAGCCTCCATTACCAAGGACTGTCTCTGTCATTCTTATTTCATCTCCATTCACTACCCATGCTGACTCCTGCTCCTCAAGTTGACGGTCTTTCTCTTCAAGTTGTTGTGCACTTTGTTCAAGTTGTTGTTGAAGTTCCTGCTCTCTCTCTTGAAACTGTTTCTCTCTCTCATCATTTTGTGTACGTAACTCTTGAACCTCTTCCTGGAGCTGTCTCTCTCTTTGTTCAAATTGTTGTAACTCTCCTCGAAGTTGTCTCTCTATTTCTTGTGATTCTCTCTCTCTTTCTTGAAGTTGTTTCTCCATTTCTCTCTCTCTTTCCCTGGCCTGTTGGTCTCTCTCTTCCATTTGAAGGTGTAATTGTTGAATCTCTTGCTGGTGTCTCTCTTCCATTATTCTTTCTCTTTTCTGACTGACCTCTTGTTCAACTGATCTTCTTCTCTTTCCCATTTCTTCTTGATACTCTCTCAGTGAGTATGTCCTCACAGAAATATCACCTCCTGCAGTGTATCCTTTATATAATAAAAAAATAAATCATTTAATATTATATACAGTTTTACAAGTGTGTGTGTGTGTATTACATGTACATGTATATGAGTAGATGTATATTAAATTAACAGTATAAGTAATTCAAATATTGCTGTACAGTAATTATTATTATACTCACTGATATTAAGGAATGCTGTATCACTGAGTGATGCTCCACCCCAGTGTTCTCCAAACTCTATTATCCAAGTATTGGTTGTATCTTCATTCCAAACTGATAGAGAATGAACATTTCTATTTTTGACTGATTCAGGAACATCAACCTACGTGTAATTATATAATAATAACAATAACAATTTCTTTTATTGTTTTACAATAATAACTATAATCAACAATAATGATTCTGTAATGTACATGTACATGTATGTGACTATGAGTACATGTTATATGACATATACACATGTATAATGTAAGTATGTACATATTATCATAATGTGGTCTACCTTCTTCCAATTAGTTTTGTTAATATCAAATGTCTCACATTGACTATCACCAATAGCCAATAGTTTTAGTCCTGAAGGACTAGTCAGTAATACACTGCGATTAGGATGCACAAACCATGGAGCATCAAGTACCATTCTTCCATAAAATATGCATTCAAAAACCTAAATGTACAATTAGACTGTAATAATATAATTTCAATTGATTACACAAAATTATTAAATATTACACTCATATTAATTAAATATTGTATATACACATGTACATACCACTGATCCTTTAGTAAAGGTAAGACGATGAACATAGTTATCTGATATATTATCATGATGATCTTCAAGTAAAATAGCACTGGTATCATCTACTGACATCAAATTAAAATCATAAATTCTACTAATGTCATCTCCAGTAACTTTAGGTGAGATCCACTGACCTACAGTAATTAATTAATTAAATTAATTAATTAAAACTATTAATTTACCTGTAGCAATTCTAAAATAATGAATAGATCCTGGTTCAATTATTACAAGGTAATCTTCTCCCTCAATCTTTACAGCAATCATACCACAACTATCCTTCCTCTTAGGACCATCCTCAGGATTAGTAGGTACAACTTTCCTCCATTTGAGAGTATCAACATTTAAACTGTACAGAACATTAACATCATAGTGGAAATGACTACAACGTCCTCCATAATAGAATATCTCATTCCCAATAGCAACAGCTGCATACTTCATGATACCCAGTGGAGGATCACCAGTGGTAGGTTTCTGCTCCCACCTACCAGTCGGAAGGTGAAGTACCTCCACAAATGATGAATCTCTTCTCTCTATCTCAATATTGTGTTCTTTAAGACGGTCATCTCTCTCCCCACCCCACATATAAAGACAGTCTCCTACTAGTACTGTAGAATGATTGAGTCTCTTAGCAGGTTCATAGTCTATATAATAACATAAACTATCAGTCAAACAATATTTATCATAAATTATAACTTATTAACTTTTTACAGGGGGGCTGGGGACTGCTTTTGCTGGCTTCAGGGCTCGCATCAGGGCTGCCATCATTTCATTCATTTGCAAAATTGCCACGCCTACTGTTATTAATTTTTATTATTATTCTAAAAACTACAAAACTATAAAAAGTGCAAAATTATAAAAAATACAATCAAATGCTTTGAGTCAGTTCATTTATAATGTCAGACATTTTAGGACGCAATTTACAATTATCCATAACACAGCGTTGAACAAGACCCTTAAAC